TCTGTATCACCCCTCTTAAGAAAGGGACGTGTTGATGGAAGTTGCAAAATAGACCCAGGCTGACCCTTGAGAGCACACATCAGGATTCCTGGAAAAGCAGGCAGGCAAGATCGTAAATTTCCTGAGAAAAATATAGTAGGTTGGGCTCCTAGTCTCTTCTTGAATTTCTGGCCTCTACATTTCTGAGCTGCATAGTGAAATGATGCCCAGGGGCCCCCCTTACCCCGGCAAGGTCACACTGGATGAGACAGCATGCCAGCTTAAAGATTATAGAGCATGCAATTCCAGAAAATTCTGCTCTAATTCTTGGAGGAAGGTCAGAAGACTAGAGAGGGTGCAGCCTGGTGGTTTAGCTAGAAGGACCTAACTGTTTGGAGGCCCCCTGGGCAGACATCCTTCAGGTCACATAGGTAAGTACCGCCATTGATCTCATCAGAGCCACTTCTCCTGAGCATTTGAATAAAAACCTCTCCTTAAAAGGCTTTAATCTCATGCTGGGACTCCTGTTACTTGAATTCCCGATGGACGAGGCTATACGCCTCTCAGCAGAGTCAGCTGCCTTACTGTCCAGCAGATTTCATAGTCCCGTTATTTAAATACTGAGTACAGGCCTGTCCCTGCACCTCTCTGTCCCTGCACACACACACACACACACACACACACACACACACACACACACACTTGCACTTCCTCATCCTCACACTTCCTTGTCCCCCCAAACACGCAACTGCGCACACACACATGCACACACACGCTCACACGCGTGCACACACCTGTACTTTCATATTCTCACACTTCCCTATCCCTACACACACACACACACACACACACTTCCCTGCTGCTCTAAGCAAGCTGCTGCATTTTTAACGCCAGATTAAAGTTGCAGAACTCTCTGAATCAAACCAGGAACTAAATTTAGAAGTGTCCAGCCAGAGCCTCGGGGACATCGCTCTGACTGCTCAAACTGCCCAAATCCCAATGTGCTCTGTGCATGGGTTTGTCGGGGAAAACCAGGTTCTCACGGTTCATCTGTGCTCCTCTTTTCTGTCCTGTGAGGATCATCATGACTCTCCATGATGGTCTCTCCCTTTGAGAACATACGTTACACTGGTAAGGTGATGTCTACATATCTCGGGCTACCCATGTGTGATCAGGGAGCCCACAATGTCCCGGCTGTGGCACTGCCTCCTTTAGGACAAAGGTCTTTATTCAGGTGCTCTGGAATGCTAGAATTAAACTAAATGAAACTGAGAAATAGTGACAATAAATAAAAATCACCATTAAACACTTACTTTACATTGCGTCTCAGCTGAGAAGCGTGTGTGTATGTGTGTGTGTGTGTGTGTGTGTGTGTGTGTTGTATGTGGGGTGGGCACATGTGCACATGGGTCAACATTGAGTGTCTTCTTCAGTCTTGGTCCCCATCTTATTTTGGGGGGCGGGGTCTCTCAGTCAACCTGGAGCTCACTGATCAGCTAGACTGCCTCGCCAGCCAGCTCCCTAAGAGTTTCCTGTCTCTATCCCCAGTACTGGAATTGCAAGCCTGTTTCTGTGCTCAGCTTTTTACTTCGTGCCGGGAATCCAAACTCGAACCCTCACACGTATGCAGCCAGCACGTTACTGACTGAGCCGACTCCCCAGCCCCAAGCAAAAGTAATTTTAATGCCTATTTACTACTTACTCCTATTACAGAAATCCTAATTCATGGACATTCACTGATTCCACCAGAAAATAAACAAGGGGACCACATAAAGGACAACGGCAAAGGCACATTAAACTCACCTGACAGCAGATGTGGTGCTGTATGGCTGTGATCTAAGCACTCTAGGAGGCTGAGGCAGGGAGGTTTTAGTGTGTTGAAGTTCAACCTGGGCTAACAAATAAGACTCTGTTTCAAAAACAAAAAACAATAATCAACCAATCAATTTGATTTGATAACTAAAGGAAGAAGGAGATAAGTACGGAAAGCTCAAGGAGGAGATCGTTTTTAGACAGGGGCACATTTGAGAGGACCCAGCTAGTGAAGGAGAGAGGAGCTCATCAGGCTCAAGGCCTAGAGAGCCCAGCATCCAGGGCTTGAACAGAACACAAGGGGATCTAGAGATCGCCCTTCAAACTGAAGAGATGATCAAAAAGCAGATAAAAGCAGAAAATTGAGTTCTTAAACTGCACATGAAACTGAAGACCTCTTGAAGTCTCTGAGGAGAGAAGGGTGTGATGTCACTCACACAGACTGCTCCATGGAGAGTGAACTGGAGGGAAGGACTGAAGACCAGATACAGGTTTAGGGGCTCTTACACCAGCTGAATTGAAGAATGATGGAAGCCCATGTTGAGATGGGAAGAAAATGTATGTGTGTGCACATGTGAGCATGTGAGCACAAGCACGCACAGTCAAAGACAACTGAGAGGCAGTGAAGGGGACGTCCTTCTGCATATGTGTTTCTCTTATTGGTGGATGAAGAAAACACTGCTTGGCCAATAGAGGCAGGAAGATGGGCGGGGCTAGGAGTTGAGGAGAATGCCGGGGAGAGAGGCGGAGAGGCGTCTCAAGGACATGCCATGCAGCCGCCAATAAGAAGCCCTAGATACCGGCCAACAGTTTATAAACACATATATGTCTCTGCATGCTTATTTGGGGCCGAAGATAGGCAGGACTCCAGCAACGAGGTAGAGATGGCAGGGTCTGTTGACTTGAGTAGATGAGAGATCAGGAGAACTACAGCGGACTCTCTGGGTTCTGGCTTTCAACCAGAGGAGTGCATGGTAACCTCTCACTGAACAAGAGAGTGGTGGGGTGGAGAAGGGAGAGAAACTTCATGCAGTCAAGTCTAGAACTCTGCTCTGATCACACATTTGAGGCACAATTCAAACTCATGGTTTGGTGTTAGACTCCTACAGGAAGGGTTTGTAGCTCAGTGGTGAAAGAGTCTAAATAGAGGACAGGCGGGTAACAAGAGAGGGTAATTGGGGCAAAGAAGCAACCATCTGAATGAGGTCTGTGTAACGGCAGCGTTTAAATGCATGGGAATTGGTAAGAGTGCTTTTGAAGCTAGCTAGCATTTGAAAGGAAGAGACCCAGACTCCAGAAACACGCTAACAAAAAGCAATGGGCCAGCTAATACAGAGACACCAAGATGTCAGAGGACCCGGGGCGGCAAAGACGGTACCCACCATCCCTCAGTGCCAGGTAAACTGAACAAGTGGCCATCAGGGGAAAGGCCCCGCCCGACGTGAAGCAACAGCTGGTTTCCATGGATAAATGCTCTCCCCAATATGACCCGATTTCAGGCTTCTTTGCCTGCTGCCCCTGCAGGAGAAAGAAGTGTGCACTATCAGCTGCCAGTTCTCACTGGTACCGGTTCAGGACAACTCTGCCACAGAGAGGAGCATGAGACACAGACAGGGAAACAGAGCTTGGCAGCCTACACATTGTTGGCGGCATCAACAAGGGCCGTTTCTGTATTACAGGAGCAGCCAGGCTGCCCAATAAATACACGGGAAAATGTTCAACATCCTCGACCGTCAGGGAAATGCAAATTAAAACTATGTTCAGATTTCATCTCACCCCAGTCAGAAAAACAAATAATAAATGCTGGCAGATACCGGCTGAAGAGGGTGGCTTATTCATGCTGAAGGGAGTATATTACTGGTGCGGTGTGGTTTCTCAACACACTGGAGTAGAATCACCCAGTGGTCCCTCGCTACACAACCCCTGGAAGAAGCTTCGTCAGCAGAGTGTGGAGATATTTGTGCGTCCGTGTTCACTGCTGAATTACTCACAACAGTTAAGAAAGGAACCTGCCCAGATGCCTAACAATAGAGGGCACGGAAAAAATGCGGCATTTATACACAGTGGAGCTTTGTTCAGCTGTGATGATGAATGAAATAATGTGATTTTCCGGGGGAAATGGATGGAACTGAAGACCATCATCATGTTAAGTAAAATAAGCCAGGCTTGGAAAAACAGATATCTCAGTTTTTCACATAAGAATCATATGTGTTCTTGAGGGGGGACTATAGAAGTCGGGGCCCAAAGGAATGAAGAAACCAGTGATGTCTTGGGGTTTCTATTGCTGCCACGAAACGCCCCTCCCAGAGTTTGTGGTTATTTTGACTGTGGTGAGGAAAAAAATCTCAATATAGTTTTAATTAGCATTTTCCTGACAGTTAAATGGGGGACTTCAACACAAAATGTTACACGTTTTGTCTTATTTGTTGAGTCTATATCTATAGCTACAGCTATGACATAAAAGAGGAAGGGGAACTCTTCTGGGGGAGGGTGGTCAGCATGAGAGGGGAAAAGGGATGGAAGAGGTGGGTAGGTGAATAAAACAACACACAGTGATTAGAGAGATGATAGATTCATAATGAAAGCCATCAACCCGTGCTAACTAAAATAATAATAGGAAAAGCTTAGTAGCAGGAGGAGAAATAAGAATAAAAATTGAGAAAAACCACAAATATCTACAGCTCAATGAGATTGTCAATCTGCTTGCAATTATTGGGGGGGGGTGTCGGGGTGGGACCCAGGCTTGGCTCAGAGAGGGTCCCGAACCGTAGAAAAGTGAAATCCGAAAGCTACCGCATCATAGAATTACGGGTGGGTTTTCTGTTTGTAGCCATCTGCCGTCCTCTACTTTTAAATTGAGAGCTGATTACTTTGAAATCATAAGCACCGAGTTATCTTGGCGCATCTGCAGATTAACAGTGGACTGTGGCAAGTACGGAACTATTGCGCAGCAGATGTGGTGGCTCACACCGGTAATTCCGACACTCGAGACACAAGGCCTGGAGGAGAGCCTCAAGTCTGAGAGCAGACATAGTGCAAAGTCGGGCTACACAGAGAGACCCTGCCTCAGAATACTAAAAAAAAAAAAAAAAAAAAAAAAAAAAAAAACACGATCCGATCCAATCCAGGTAGCCACATGGCCAAACAGCGCCACCTAGTGTAATGTCTACGTCTCAGATAAATGTTTTGATTTGTGTTACATTTTACAGCTTATGAATCAGCACACATTAAAATAACTGTGAATGTAAACACCTGAAGGTGCTACCTTGGAAGCTCATACTCATAGGTTCTAGTTCTTCATTGGTTCACGGCGTTGGATACGGGCTGGGACTGAGCCGTGCTTCAGGAAGTGTGGAGCTCGCTCTCTGTTAGAACCGATCCTGACAACGAACCAGACTGCGGCGATGTCGTTTTGGGGTAAACATCTGAAAAGCTATTGCATTGAAACCCAAAAGGAATCATATTTTTAAAAAGGTAAGATAAGAAGTTATACTTATTCTTAATGGTGGGATACGTCGATTAGTGTCTTGATTTCATCCGCTGGACGTGTTTGGGCCTTTGGCTTTGAACTCTGGGATTAGAGTCGGGTGTGGTGGTGTACCGGGTTAATCCCAGGGCTTGGGAGACAGAGGCAGGAAATCTCCGTGGGTTCAAGGTCAGCCTCATCCTACATTGCGAATTCCAGGTCAGTCATATATCGTGATAACTGCCTCCTCCAAGGGAGAGAGGGAAGGGAGGAGAGAAGGAAAAAGACTCTTGGTTTAATGGGAGGCAGGGTGGGTGTGAATGCAATACATAATCAAGGTCCTGTTTCCGTAACTCTGTATTATTTATGTGTCAATACCATTATAAGATTATGCATGCATTTTGAACTCTAGTAGTAAATCATTTATGATAATAGTTTTGAGTGACTGTAAAATCGTATACCAATAGGAATAGCTCTTCTTTCTTTTTATATTTCGGGTGAGAGTGAAAGCTATCAGAAATTATGGGGGAAATGCGGCGGCTCACAGAGCAATGGATGAGCCTCTCTGAGAAGATCACCTTCATGATCATGGGCTCCCCGCTGCTAGGAGAGTGTGATGACTATAGCGTTTAAGACCATATGTATATGTATTTCTTCTATATGTTAGGTTAAATCATAGGTGTTTGTTTGTAGGGTTTTTTAAATTTATTTTTGTTTTATGTGTGGGCAGTTTGCCTATATGGCCTGGACAACGTACATGCCTGGTATCTTCGGGAGCCGGAAGAGGGTGTCAGATCCCTTCGGACTGGAGCTACAGTAATGAGTCATCACGTGGGCACTGGGAATCAAACCCAGGTCCCCTGGAAGAGCAGTCAGTGCCCTTAACCATTGAGCATCTCCTTGGCCCCAAGCACCGTGTTTTTCTTTATCACATTTATTTATTGTTATTTATTGTGTGCTTATTTGATTGTGTACGTGTGTGAGGACGCCCAGGGCACGTGTGGAGGTCTGAGGACAACCAGAACTTGCAACAATCTTTTCTCTCCTTCCCCAACGGGGGTTCCAAGAAGCCTCGACAGCAGACATCTCTGCCTACTCAGCCATCTTGCCAGTCCCATATTTAATTTTTTTTGAAGTAGAAAAAGAAAGTGTTATTGCTGTTTGAAAATAAAGAGGAAAGCATGTGATTTACAGATACTTTGACAGAATACCTGATTATTTCTAGCCATGTTAGAGTGGACTAGCAGAGGGCAATGAAAATCCAAAACGGGCATGCAAGGCCAATGGCAGTGTCATAAAAAAAACTACACGCCAGCTTTGAAAAGTCAGAGAAATATAAAAGGCACTATGTTGCTCGAGCTTGGACCACATGTGGATTTGAATTTGTTTGGTGGTAGGTTAGATGGAAATTGCGTTGTTTGGTGCACTTTCAGAATGTATCTTTTTCTTTTGTGAAAACCCCATATGTGTGTGTATTTAAAGTGTCTCAGATATATTACTTGCATAGTACATTAAGCTAGAGTTTTCCAGGCAGCCTCCATGGAACTTATTTGATCAGACTGCCACCTGCAGGTGCCTGGAAACAGAGCCGGCCATCAAGATTTACCAACTGCCATGTGGTCTGTGGAAAATATCGCAATGAGACCCATTGCTTTGTGCAACTGATGTATACTGATAACACACACACACACACACATACACGGATGCACACACATGCACTTGCACACGCATGCACGCACGCACTACAAATATCCCTCTTGTTAAAAGTAGAAAAGAAGCCATGCCGGGAAGGGAAGGGTACAAGAGGTCTGGGGGGATGGAGGAGACAGGGAAAACAGAAAATCACCAAAACCAAACTTTGTTTGAAAAGCTCCATAGGAACACCTGATACTGTGCATGCTAATTACAGGTTTTATTTTTAAAAGAAAGCTGTCATGTGTCAGTCATTGTACTAAGGAGTTGGGTGTCAACGGGATGCCCAATGGGTAGTGTGCACCTACCCAATGCCTGACAGTCGTCCTCAGATTTCCACGTGCACAGTCTGGCACATGTGTGCCCCCTCCCCCATTAAATAAATTTGATTTTTAAAATGTTTTTAGAAGAACCTGAAATCCCAGAGTATGTATGGGTGTCTATGTATTTGTACTTGTGTGTGTAAATGTGTGCTTATGGTGTGCATATATATGTGTCTGTGTATGTGTTCACATATGAGTTCATGTGCATGCCTGTACATGCACGTGTACATATTTGTGAGTGGATGGATTTCTGTATGTTCACATACGTTTTATGCATGAGTGTATATGCGACATATGCATATTGGGTATGCCAGCATATGTTTGTGAGTGCATGGGTTTCTGTGTGTGCACATACGTGTTATGCATGAGTGACATGTGCATATTGGGTATGCCAGGATATGTTTGTGTTCATGTGTGTTTGTGTCAATATGTGTATATGTCTGTGTATATGTATGTTACTGATTCTATATATGTTGATACAAGTATATACTTGCATGCATGTTTTTGTATGTATGCATGCCTGCATGTACACATGTGCATGTGTATATATCCATGTGTGGTTGTGTATATGCATGCATGTGTCCATGCATGTGTGAATGTATGGTTTCATGTATGCATATAACCGTGTGTGTATATGTGTGTCCATGTGTGTGTGCATGTGTAGGTATACTGTGTATATGAAGGGCATGTGTATGCACGTGTGTGCTCTTGCCCTTGTTTGTAAATGAATGTAATGTAGGGATGTACAACTGTTTGGGTATGCATCTGTATACTCTATGTGTGCACATTTATTTTCAGGTTCAGTTTTTGGAAGAGCTGTCATTTTACTTTCAAAGGGATAAGGAATTCACAAAGGCTCAGATGCCAGAGTTTTGTGAGACACTCTCTAGTTAGTTAAATAAATCTCTGGTTGTCCTGGAACCCAGCCTGTAGACCATACTGACCACACACTCACAGAGATCCACCTGCCTCTGCCTCTGCCTCTCTGCCTCTCTGCCTCTCTGCCTCTCTGCCTCTCTGCCTCTCTGCCTCTCTGCCTCTCTGCCTCTCTGCCCCTCTGCCCCTCTGCCCCTCTGCCCCTCTGCCCCTCTGCCCCTCTGCCCCTCTGCCCCTCTGCCCCTCTGCCCCTCTGCCCCTCTGCCTCTGCCTCTGCCTCTGCCTCCGCCTCTGCCTCTCGGGTGCTGGGATTAAAAGCATGTGCCACCACCTCTGCCAGGCCCATGTTCACATTTTAGAAGTGTGTGCTAGAGCAACATGGAGGATGGACATGAGTTTGGGGCGACCTTGGGTTATGCAATGAATCCTTGTATGGGGCAATGCATATAAGCATGTAAGCATGTAAACATGTAAGCATGTAAGCATGCCCATCAGCATAGCATTCACAGGGGTCAGAGGAAGGCACTGGGTGACCTGCTCCATACTCTCCGCTCTATTCCCTTGAGACAGGGATCTCTCACCGACCTAGGGCCTCACCTATCCTGGCTGGACTGGCCAGCAAGTCCCGGGGTCTGCTTGTCACAGTGACCCACAGTGTTGGAGTCATGGCTCACCGTGCGTGTGGCCACACCCAGATACTAACATGTAAGTGCTGGAGAGGGAGCCTGCATCTTCATGCTTGCACAGCAATCGCTCTTGCTCACTGAGCCTCTTGCAGCCCCTAGAGTGAGCTCTCGACCTGTCCAGGCTACAGTAAGACCCTGTCTCAAAAGTCCAAAAGGAAGATTGAGAGGCCATTTCCTACGCTGGTGACTGGTTTTAAGAGGTCAGAGACAAGGAAGTGTGCAGGTTTTCAGAAGTACTTTTACTTCAAAATGAAATTTAAAAAAATGACTGGGGCTGGGCATGGTGGCACACATCTTGGTAGACAGAGGCAGGAGGATCTGGAGTTCAAGCCCAGCCTGGGCTGCGTTAGGCCCTGTCTTAAATAAGGTGGGGATGGGTTGGGAGTGTAGCTCAGGGCAGGGTGTTTGCTAGGGTGTGTCTCCCCAGCACCCCGAGAAAAGAAAAGACAGAGCAGTCAGGCTCGGTCAGGGCAGTGGAGTCTGAAAGCAACCCCCTTGAATCCTTCCACCACAACGTCTCCTGTTAGCAAACCCGAGACAGGAAGCGTGGTCTGGCTGCGCACCCTTTATTGGCTATCCTCTCAGCCATTGCTGGCAATCCTTAACACGGCCCTCGGCAATTCTGCAGCTCCCGCTACAGAAAAGACGACTCAGAGGCAGACAGGGGCTAAGAAACGAGTCCAGAGACACATGGTGACATAGGACAGCAGAGAAACCAGTTGTGCTCACAGACTGTGTGTTCCTCTCGTTTGTTTAAGACCAGTCCACTTATCAAGGTATTAATATAACTCTCACCCAATAGACAACAGATTAAAACAGCAGGTCAGATCATGAGCCTCTATTGTCCCAGAAACCGGTCTTAACCGACTTTGGCTCCTCTGTGCCCCGCCCAGAGTGCCCACTTGGTGCTTGTCCTTCCATCTTTTGGGGGTGTCTCCTTCCCGTTGGCATTACATGAAAGTCTTCTCCATCAATATACACCCATCAGATAGGCCAAGTTAGGTGTAACACACACACACACACACACACACACACACACACCAAAAGACCCAGAGACAGACATTAGGGTTCAAGCTGGAGATCAGGGAAGCAAAGCAGCTGGCCACTGGCTCTTACCACTACCTCAGGCGGAAAGGGCTGACCCACCCAGGGCTCTTCACCAAGCCTCACACTGCTGCCTCTCCTCAGCATGGCTGGAGAATCCTGAGACTTCAATGTCATCCCGTCCTCCTTGATTTTGAGCCTTCCTTTCTTCAGTGTGGCTGGAGAATGAATGCCTCCTACTGAATACCGAAGACCCTGCCTCTGTCTTTTATGCCCCTCTAGTGCTGGGTTAAAGGCGTGAGCTCTGTTACTCTCGTAGACTGAATCAATCTCGTGTGCCCCTGAGTAGCTTTGGACTCACAGAGATTTGTCTATCTCTTAATCCTGAGTCCTGGGATTAAAGGCGTGTACCACCGCCTCTCCTAGATTCTGGCTGCTGGGATTAAAGGTGTGTGCCTGGCTTCCATGCTTGTGGCTGACTTTGCTTTCTGAATCCTCAGGCAAACTTTATTAAATCATAAATAATACATCAGCACAGTTAGTGACTGGAGAGAAGGCTCGGCAGGGGAAAAGGCACACTGCTCTTGCTGAGGACCTGAGTTTGGTTCGTAGTGTCCCTTAGGTACGGCACCCAACCACCTGTAACCCCAGATCCAGGGTACCTGACATCCCCTTCTAGACTCCAAGGGCGCCCACACTCACGTGTACATGTATGTATACACAGAGGCACACCACACTCACATGTACATGTATGTATACACAGAGGCACACCACACTCACGTGTACATGTATGTATACACAGAGGCACACCACACTCACATGTACATGTATGTATACACAGAGGCACACCACACTCACGTGTACATGTATGTATACACAGAGGCACACCACACTCATGTGTACATGTATGTATACACAGAGGCACACCACACTCACGTGTACATGTATGTATACACAGAGGCATGTCATAGACACATCTTAAAAAAGTAAGCTAACCCCAAGTCTCTAAACAATGCGTATGGATGATTTTCAGATTTGTGTCTGCAGATTTGGTATTCTCCTTGACACCAGGCTTGTACATTCATCTGGCTTCTCCAGATTTCCATTTGAAGGTCTGGTCAATACTTCAGAGCAAACAAGAGTAACGTGAACTCTGTATTTCTCTCTTCCAATACTCTCACTGTCTCCACGGCCTTAGTCAATAGCAGCCATATTTCTGATACAATAGAAAATCGCGGAGGAGTTTGTGTCCCTTGTCCTTCCATGATAGTCCGTGTCATAGCTATTGGAAAACGGAGTCACCTTAACCTTCAGAACATACCCACATTAACCAAGATAAAAAGTCCTCCTACCTGTAATTTCTTTCTTTAAAGACTCAAAGTTCTTGCGATACAGGTCTTTCACTTGTTTGGTTAGTGGTACCCCAAGGTATTTTATGCTGTTTGTGGCTATTTTAAAGGGCAATGTTTCTCTGATTTTTTTCTCAGCCCTCTTATCGCCTGTATATAATAGGCTACTGATTTTCTCGAGTTGATCTTGTATCCTGCCACATTGCTGAAGGTGTTTATCAGCTGTA